GAGAGAGAGAGAGAGAGAGCGCGCGATCAGTCTAGTTGCACGCGACGTGAGAGAATGTAGTGTTCTGTTGATCATCGAGTCTAGTTGTTCGTTGTGACCTCAAACGGTTCATTTCATCCTGTTCTCTTTCGGTTGCTAATCGTCTCGGTGTGAATAAACTGATGTTAACGCGGCATATGGCGGTGATTGGTTAATTTCTTTATCGATTTTTCGCTTGGCGACACGTCAGAGTGATTCGTGGAATTTTTTTTCGAGACAATACCGCGGTAATTGTGCCCTTTCGGCGTGCGACCGGAATTCCGCGGGGTCGAGCCAGCTCTGTAAGTTGGTTCAATTATTTTTTAGGTGCTGATGGGACTTCGAATTGGCTGGTTAGGTTTGAAGGGCTGCGGCATTTTTTGGAAGTGGTTTTCATGGACTTTGAGGAGTAGGGGGTTTTTGGGCTTTTGTTTTTTTTTGAATTTTTGAGGATTTGATGAAGTTTTGCGATTGTTTTTAATTAATCTTTAGGTCTGTAAAGGCCTAGAGCCATACATCGAAGTAAAGGGCCATTTTTAGTATTAATTTTTAGGAATTGAGGTATTTTTTGGATTTTTTTACAACTAATTTCGAAGCATTGACGAGTTTTTTAAGCATTTTTGTGGTGTTGAAATTCTTGGAAATTTGTTGGAATTCTTTAATCTATTTTAAGGGCTGATGCATTTTTTGGATTTGGTTTTCATCAATTTCGAGTTCATGGAATTTTTGCAATTTTGTGAAATTAATGTTCACTTATTGAAACATTTTTTTGTCATTTTTTTCAACTAATTTCGAAGAGTTGACGGATTTCTTTTTTTTTTTTCAATTTTTTAGGTGTTGATAGCATTTTTGAAATTATTTTTCAGTAATTTAGAGGGCTCAATAATTTTTTCGCTATTGTCGTTAATTAATCTTAAAGGGTTCATCAATTTTTCGCCGTTATTTTCAATTTCAAGCAGTTAATAAATGTTTTGAAATTATTTGCAATTAATTTTGAGTTTTGTCATCCTCCTACTCTACACAATTATTTTCAGATTTTGTAGCAAATTCTTATTATTGAGGTCTCGATGTTTTTATTCTGCCTTTTCCGGGGGAACTGTTTGGGCCAGAGCTTCTGAGGTATTTGTTTTTGTTTCGTAGATCGTGTGGGGATAGTGGGGCTGACACGAGCGCTGGCGGTCGACTACACAAAGCACGGCCTGTTCAAGGTAATGGAAAGATCCTCATCGTGGGGATTGTTGACATTTTTTTCGTCAGTATGTTTCCGGCCGAGTCCCATCATGATAGAAAAATTGCACGTTGTAAATTAGTCGTTCTGAATGCTCGATAATTCTTGGGGTGATGGGGCAAATGCGATAATTTTCGTTTCATTTTTTACATTCTAATTCAGAACTATTAACAATCAAAACCTTTTTGTTTTACCAAAATCTCTAAATTTATGCGTTTAATCATTATTTTATTCATCGTTTTGAAAACTATTTGGAGAAACTTCTGTTGAAATCACCTTTTTTCACTGATTTTACAAATATTTCATTAGAATAAATAGCATATATAATTAAAAATGAATTAATTTTGTCTATGAAATATCATCTCTTGAAGGTTCCTATTCAATTCTCTTCGAAATATAAAACAAGTTGAAATGAAAAATGAAAATATTTTTCACCACGCGTGGGTAAATGAGATTTTAATTTCATTTTCAAGCGAGAAAAGATAAAAAGACGTTGGCCTAATTAGATTTTTATCTCTCAATTTCGAAGTATAGATAATTAAAAACCTATATATTTTTCCGAACTCTCTAAATTATCTCTCACTCGATCACTATTTTTTTTCTCATTGTGAAAGCCGTTTCGAAATAAAAAAAGTCAGTAACCGTCGATTCATCTTAGATACGAATTGAAGTCTATATTCATGAAAAAAATCATGAAATTCGATTGATCCTTTATAAGAAAATTCCAAAAAAAAATTAAGAAAAAAGACCACATGCGTAAAACTGCCCTTTTTCTCCCTAGTGTCACAAACCCCCTGTCCATCCTCCCCCACTGTCGCCATCACCGCCCCTCAATTCTTTCTTTCACTCCCAGCTGAAAGATGGAGGAAGTAGCAAGCACCCTCCGCGCATGCCTGATGACGTCGAAGGGGGGTGTTCCCCTGGAGAACGTCAACCGAGACTACAGATCCCTAGAAGGTGAGAACATTCCCTACCGCAGGCTAGGCTTCACCAGTCTCGAGGACTTCATCTCGAAAGTCCCTCGCCTCCGTCAGTACCAACGAGGTGGTGTGACCTACGTCGAAGTGATTCCCGACGAGAACACAGCTCATCTGGCCGAGCTAATCAACAGACAGAGGTCCTCAAAGAAGAGACGAAAGCCCCTGAGAATGCCCTCCTCCTGGTCCTCGAGGCGGCCCACCCTCAACAACTTTACCCCTAGAAGCAGCACGAGGCCACCCCCAAGAGTCCAAATGTTCCCATTGCGAGCTCAAGCCTCTCCCCAAAGACCCCAGAGGCCTCACCTGACCCAACCAGCAAGGTCCCACCCTCCCTCAGTGACAGTCTACCCAGGAACAGTGACAGTCTACCCTGCAAAAGCCCCAGACCAACTTCCCCCCAGTGCCAAAACCCAACAAACTCTCCCACAACGACTTCAGACTGTCCAAAATCCCAGACAGACCCCTCAGAGTCATCACCAGCCCCTCCAGAGCCGTCAGCAGACGCCTCAGTCACCCCAGAATCCCTCTAAATCCCCACGTGAACCCCTCCAGAAGATCGTCATCTCCCAGACCCCTCTAACCCCATCGAAAGCCCCTCAATCAGCTCCTGTCACCAACGGAGCTGCTGCTCGTCAGGTGAACAGACAAAACAGCATGCCCCACCTGATTCCTGCAACTACCAAAGGCTCCAGGGCCATTCCCCCCCTAAAGGTGGCAAGACCTTTGAGCGACAGACTCCGAAGGTCCCCTGAACGAAAGGTGACCTTCTCACCTGAGATCGGAGCCTCCTCTCCACCCATTCTTACCCCTGTCACCTCACCTGCTCCCCTGACCCCACCTTGTGACACCGCTGACCCCAGAGAAAAGCTCAAGACCCTCGGGAGAAGACTCCACCTGAGCCCAACAGAGCCTGAATACAAAAATGTTCCGATTGAGTCCAAGAATGGAAAGATCAGCTTCTTCAGTCTGGTGCAGGTGGGAAAGCGCACGTTCAAGAGCTATCCCCTGGAGGCCCAGACACCTGAGGACGCTGAGAAGCTCGCGGCATTGGCGGCCCTCAATGAACTCCAGTTGAACGAGCAGCCCATCAAGATGAGGGTGACCACTGACGGGGAGGTGATGCTGCAGAGGCTTGTTGCCATCGTCGAAGGCCATCCCAGTGGTGTCTTCGAGGAGAAGCTCCCTGATTTCTACATGGAGAAGCACAACGAGACACTTCCCGATGACTGGATGAGCTTCGTGGAGACGTGCAGAGAACTGTCGGTGGAGAGGGGTGTGGAGAATGCTGCCATCGTCTGCAGGTGTGATCCTGCGGTTGACAGGATCCTCACCCCTCCGCCAACTCCTTCGTCACCTGGAAGAGTGCTTAATCCTCATTCAGGGGCTGACACCAGTCTTTCTCCTCTGCCCTTGCCAGTGGATAATCTCTGGCCAGTTTACGTGTCTCACGTGGCCAGCACCTGCGAAATCTGGATTCGTTTGCTTGAGGACAAGACCACTGAGCCGTTCTACGAGATGTGCCAGGAAATGTCAGCCCACTTCTCCAGGATTTCACCCATCTCCTGCCAGGTGGAGCCCTTTCATTATTATGTGACGAAGGTGGGGGACGAGTATCAGAGGGTCAGGGTGGAGTTCCTGGAGGAGGAGGGCAGTCTTGCTGAGTGCTTCTTCATTGATACTGGGGAGGAGGACTTTGTTGACACGTCTCTACTCTATGATGTACCTGCTGCCTTCCTCAGGGTGCCTGCTCAGGCCATCAGGGCCTCCCTCTCCAGGCATGAGGAGGTCCCTGTCTGCAGCACTACCACTGAAGTCGCCAAGGAGATGCTGATTGACAGGGCTTTCTACCTTCAGGTTTTGAGTCGTGAGGAGGACAGCACGAGTCATGCTGTTGTCGGGGTCTTCTATGATACTTCGTCGGAGAAGGATGAGGAGATGAGCGAGAAAATCGTCGCGGAGGTCCTCAGGGTCATGCAGCTGACCCAGCTGGAGGTGCTGCTTGCGAACAAGGGGGGACTCCTCGAAGTCTTCATTTCGCATATTGAGTATAATGGAGATGTCTCCCTTCAGGTGAGTTTGGAGGTTTTTTTGGGGAGGGGGAGTGGTGCTGTTTTAAGGTGTTGATGAATTTTTTATTCAGTTTGGGGAGTTGAGGGATTTTTAATAGTTGTTTTAATGATCATTGAGGAGTTGATAGATTTTTTTGATTTATTTTCAATTAATTGTGAGGAATTGGCGGATTTTTCAAAATTGTTTTTGATTAATTGTGAGGAGTGAATGAATTTTTATGTAAAATTCTTGTCAATTGGTTTGCAGAATTGATGCATTTTTTGATATTGTTTCTATCAATTTTGAGATATTGTTCAATTTTTATGGTTGTTGCAATAAATTTTGGGGAGTTGATAAATCCCCTGTAATTGTTTTCAATCAGTTTTGAAAAGCTGATGAATTTTCAATTTATTTTAAGAAGTTGATAGATTTTTTCGATTTCTCTCTTATTACTCTTGAGTCGAGGGATTTTTTGTGTAAAAAAATTAATCTCAAGACGTTTGATAAATTTCCTAAAATTGTTTCAATGACCTTGGACGAGTTGATAAATTTTCAACAATTTTTTACAATTATTTTCTAATAGTTGATTGATTTAAAAAAAATTATTCTGCTTTCAATTTCACAAGTGAAATTTCCATAACTCGAGATATTTCCACGTTAATTTATTCTGTTACCCCAGGTGAAGAACGATGGGCTGATCATCCTCAGTGGGATGATGAATAGTCTCATCGATTCAGCTCTGAACGACGAGGAAAAAGTGAAGAAGGCGAGGGTGTCAGGTCCCCTTGACCCGAAGGAGCTTTATCTCATCCAGAAGAGCGATGGCAGTTGGGTGAGGGTCCAGGTCGCCTTCCCTGGGGCCACCAACTCCAAGCTGAGGATGGTGGACTTCGGGGGCCTGATGGATGCCGACAGGAGCAAGCTCTTGAGGCTCAGGGAGCTCTCGGAGGGTATTGCCAGGTTCCCAGCGCAGGCCATTCAGGTGGAGCTCAGCAACGTCAGGAAGACTAATTTCTCTGAGTCGTCTGCAGCTAGACTGAGGCATCTGGCACCACCCACGCAGCTTCTACTCTGTAAGGTTGTCCAGGTGAGATGAGAAATGAACGATTTAGTTGATGCAGTCGAGAATTTTTACTTGTTAATCAATTCGTTCGCTTTATTCTTTATCATTGTTCATTTTTATTCTTATTTCAATATAATAATTAATCAGAATTCTTAAAATCAAAAACATTGGTAAAAGGAATTTTAGAATTGTTTAAATGTTAATCTTTAAAAAAAACATGAAAATTCGGCGACTTTACAGGTTACAACGATCAATAAATAATTAAAGACGATTAATTAATAATTTTATTAATTTTGATTTTATTAATTTCGTGAAATTAATATTAACAATTGAATAAATAAAAAATTAATAATTAATTTAATAATTTAATAAAATTGAAATTAATGAAATGTTATAATGAATATTTGTACTCAGATTTCTGAATACATCCAATAATTTAATCCCATTAATTTTGTTTATTCTTAATAGGTGAGGGAATACAGCAGATCTGCTGTAGTAGAGCTCTTTAAACGTTCTGAGCCTGACAATCTTTTGATATCCATCAACAACACTCTGGACCTCGAGCCTGAGCTCTCAAAGAATGGCGATGGCAACAACAACGTAAAGACGAGGAAACGACTCGAGAGGACAATCTCCAGGAACAGCACTGGGGACGACTCTTCAAGGAAACTGAAGGAGCCGAAGATCCCAGGGATCGAGGAGTTCTTCGAGGTGCATGTCACCGAGTCTGCAGCTAATCCTGGGAATTTCATTGTTCAGCCGATTGAGAGCAGGGAGAGGCTGGAGGGCATGATGAAGAGCATGCAGGAGGTCTATGCCAGGGTGAGCAAGGGCACTGTCGACGTCAAGGAGGACAGGGTCTACGCTATTCAGGATAACGATGGACTCTGGTACAGAGCTAGTGTCAACAAGATCATTGGGGAACATCAGGTGACGGTTTATCTGTCCGATTTTGGGATGATTCGGCTCATTGGGGTGGAACAGGTCCAGCTGCTGAGGAAGGAGTTCTTTGAGCTTCCGTATCAGGCCATCAAGGCCAAACTTATGGGTGAGTTGATGAAATCCAGTTGTGTCAGTCAGTCAACTATTTTTAATTATTATTTTGGTGAATTATCTTTGCTGATTGTTTACATTTTATTGCAGTAAAAAATTATATATTATATATTATTGTAGTTTAGCTGCATGAGTTTAATTTGAGGAGTTAATGTTATAATTTTTTGTTCGGAGATTTGTTTGAAGAATTTAATAACTTGGGAGATATTTCGAGAGATGTGACATTTTATCCTAATATCACTATTTTTGTAGCAGTATTTTATGAGGAGCAGATGAAAATATGTTTTTAAATTATTAATCTGATTGAATAGTGCTTGGAATAATTAGTCCAATTGATTATTTTGGATGAGTAAGTAGTATTTTTTATTTTATTTTCGATTGGATGAAAAAAATGAGTCGTTTCAGTTAAATGGAATTTCGTTATTAAATGTAAATCCATTTTTTTCAACTTTGAATACTATTTCATTCACAATATTTTACAAATCAACAATCAAAATTATTTCCATTAAAATTTTCCTGAAAATTTTTTCAAATTCAGCTTTTTGTCATCTTTACTGCCTTTTTTGAAAATATTGAAAAATAAAAATTCACAAATTTCCATCTGAATTTATTCGTCAACTTGCAAATAGTATTTCACCCCTTAAAATTGTCCCCAGGTGTTCATCCAAAGCACGGAGACTGGTCCCTCGCCTCATGTCTGAGATTTCAGGAGCTAGTGGTCAACAAGGACTTCGTGTCGAAGGTCAAGAAGCTCCAGCAAGACAATTCTGTTCACAACGGCTTCGTCCTAGGGCTCGAACTCATCGACGTCTCCTCGAAGGACGACGTCCACATCGACAAAGTCTTGATCGAAGAGAAGTGGGCGATTCCAAGCGCACAGTGAAGGACTTCAACAGATATTTATTTTTATTTTCATTGTTTTCAAATATATATCCATTATTTTGACTTGGAACAGGGTCTGGTACCTTTCCAACTACTTCCACTATTTTTTTACGAGTATAAATATTAATATTAATTAGTAGAGGCCATATTCATTCAGTCAAACTTAATGCCATCAGCGTGAGATTTTTAAAATCAAGCTTTTAGCGACTTCAGGCCATTTCCACTCATTTGGAAAAACCTCTGGGCCATTTATACTCATCTAAATGTGGATATGAAGATGTTTATTTTTTTTCGTATTAGTGATGGAGGCTGTGTCAAGAGTGAAAGTATCTATTGAAAGTTACGAAGACAATAAAAGAATTTATCTTTAGGATTAATAGGTCTATCAGAGTTGAAGATCGAAATCCATTCATTCCAATTTCCAATATTATTAGTTGAAAAATATTGAAAATTATTTTTCTCTTTTACTTCAGTTTTCATTTTCTTTTTTCACGTGAGGATTTTGATTTTTGGTTGTGACGCATTTAGGATTAACGATTCTAGAGGCCTATTTTTTATATTAAATAAAAGATGAAATTGTTTAACTCGTTATTTAATAATAAAAAGGCAAAGGAGGTTGTAATGTTTGATACAAGTTGAGAATAAAGTCTTCTATTTGGATATAAAATTATTGAGTTGAATTTTTTGTGCCACGATCTCATGAGAATTCTTGTGATATTTTAATGACTATTTTTTTATCATAATTTAATCATTTTTTAAATTTATTTTAGATCAATATTTTGCCATTAAATAATTAAGGGTTGAATTAATTAACTCATCACTGATAATTCAATCATATTTTTGATTGAATCATCCACAAGATTGATTTATTAACACCAGCTTTTTTTCTTTTAATTTTGATCTTGAATTGTCAAATATTCAGGATTAAAAATTCTAGAAACTTATTTTTTAATTGAATAATTCATGATGGAGTTGATGAATTCGTTAAGACGAAATCCTAGTGAAAATAATATCTATTTGGATATAAACAATTAATTTTCATCATAATTTGATGATAATTAGGTCTTAGTAAAAAATTAATCATTTATTTATTTATTTATTTATTTTACTTGCCTATTTTCTCATTCAACAATTAAGAAATTAGTTGATGAACTCATCATTGATAATTGAATTATCTTTATCAGCAAAACATCGACACGTCAATTATAATTAATTACCCTATTTATTTTGAAAAAATGTTGAGAGACGGATGACACATTGTCTCCAAAAAAGGAGTTGATGGCTTTTAAACTGTTAAGGCAACGAATAAGCCTGTCGGAGCGTTGACTAAGCTATCGACCATGACACGCATGTGAAGATTCAAGGAGATCGGGAAAAGGAAACCCCATACCCTGACCAGAATGCCAAAAAATGTGAACACCATGACCTCTGCAACCTTGCCATGATGATGATGATGATCCTTTCTCTTTTAATTTTCACCATTTTTGGTGGTGAGTCAAGTGGGCCGGTCCTTCGGGGTCCATGGATGCACTGGATACTTCCTTAAATTTTTAAACTCAGATTTTGTAGTATTTTTCATTTTATTTCAGCCTTTTTTGGCTGAGAATCGAAGCCGTAAAGTTTTCCCCGCATTTCCGTTGTTTTTTTAACATCCAAAATCTCTCAATCATTCCATTCACAATATTTCATAGCTAAAGAATTGAAAACTACTTCGAAAAAAAATCTCAGCATAAAAATTCCTCCCTCGTACTTCAAATATTGAGTTACATTTACAAATCCGTGTCATTCCGAAAACTAGGTCGAAAATCGGCGTCGAGATTTTCGAAAAAAAATCCATGATGCACCGGATACTTCCTTAAATTTTTAAACTCAGATTTTGTAGTATTTTTCATTTTATTTCAGCCTTTTTTGGCTGAGAATCCAAGCCGTAAGGTTTTCCCCGCATTTCCGTTGTTTTCTTAACATCCAAAATCTCTCAATCATTCCATTCACAATATTTCATAGCTAAAAAATTGAAAACTACTTCGAAAAAAAATCTCAGCATAAAAATTCCTCCCTCGGACTTCAAATATTGAGTTACATTTATAAATCCGCATTTCCGTTGTTTTTTTAACATCCAAAATCTCTCAATAATTCCATTCACAATATTTCATAGCTAAAAAATTGAAAACTACTTCGAAAAAAAATCTCAGCATAAAAATTCCTCCCTCGGACTTCAAATATTGAGTTACATTTATAAATCCGCATTTCCGTTGTTTTTTTAACATCCAAAATCTCTCAATAATTCCATTCACAATATTTCATAGCTAAAAAATTGAAAACTACTTCGAAAAAAAATCTCAGCATAAAAATTCCTCCCTCGGACTTCAAATATTGAGTTACATTTATAAATCCGCATTTCCGTTGTTTTTTTAACATCCAAAATCTCTCAATAATTCCATTCACAATATTTCATAGCTAAAAAATTGAAAACTACTTCGAAAAAAAATCTCAGCATAAAAATTCCTCCCTCGGACTTCAAATATTGAGTTACATTTACAAATCCGTGTCATTCCTAAAACTAGGTCGAAAATCGGCATCGAGATTTCCGAAAAAAAATCCACCGTCAGAGCCCCCACCAGACGCAAACCTCTGCAGTCACGTCTTGAGAATCTAAAGATATTCTCCACTGCTATACATTTCCGTTTCTTTATTTTCCACCCATATTTTCGTTTTTTTTCCTCGCGATACCGCCGATCCCCCCTCTGAGGGAGGGAGACTTTGCATTGGCGGCGAAACCAAGGTTCACGGCTTTTCTCGAAATGTGCACCGGCGTCTTGGAGGTAGGGGAGAAACTCGTTGGCAAGCATCTAGACGAACCGCCAGTCGTGATTCAACGTGCACCAAAGACGCACCAGCCTGAAGACGAGGATACTCGAGTATGTGAGTGCTTACATGTGATTTTTTCATGTCATCGTATACTTAAAGCCCTGGAGACTCCCACATTTTTATTCTCCAAAAAATGATTATTATATAGTGAATTAATTTTTTGCTTCTTTCATTCCATTTTTTTAAATTTTGATTTCCCGTTTCGTTTTATTCCTGCGGTTGTCACCGGACTTTTTTTAGAATCATTTACATTTTATTTGAATGTGAATTTTAGCCGAGATGACGGGATAATTATTTAAACAATCGAAAGATCGATGAGTTGAAGAAAATATTTCTTCTTGTGACGCGATTTTTTTGTCTTCTAGACTTCTAGATTTTTATTCTTCTCCAGAAAATCATCCAGGCGTACCTCCATTAATTTTTTACTTCGTTTCATTTCAATTTTTTATCTGTATTCTCTTGTCCCATTCCGTTTTATTCCTGCGGTTGTCACTGGATTTATTTTAGGAATCATTTTCATTTCATTTGAATGTGAATTTTTGTCCAGATGATGGGGTAATTATTTAAATAATCGAAAGATTGATGAGTTGAAGAAAATATTTCCTCTTGTGACGGTTTTTTTTCTCTTCTAGACTCCTAGATTTTTATTCTCCTCCAGAAAATCCTCCAGACGTATCTCCATTAATTTTTTACTTCTTTCATTCCATTTTTTTTTTCTTTTCATTTCCCATTTCGTCTTATTCCTGCGGTTGTCACTGGATTTATTTTAACAATCATTTTATTTGAATGTGAATTTTGATCCAGAGATGATGGGGTAATTATTTAAATAATCGACACATTGATGAGTTGAAGAAAACATTTCACATTTAAATCCCTGGAGACTTCCAAATTTTTATTCTTCTCCAAAAAACCTTGAGACGTTTCTCAAAACTAATAACAGAATCAATTGATTCTTTATTTCGTTTAATTTCTCAGCTGTCACCGGATTTATTTTACTAATTACTTTCATTCAGTTTATTAACACTGAATTTGATTTCAAACGACACAGTAATTATTAGACTAATCGAAGCATTAGTGAGTCACGGGACACATTTCATCCCATGAAGCTGTCACTTCCTGCGATAACTAGAAAAATTACACTTCATGTAATGTAATCAGACGCTTCGGATCGTCAGGCGTTCTGCGAACATTATTATCACAATCCCCATGTGTCAGCTAGTTCAACAATCTCCTAGATCTATCCATCTAAACATTTTTAATTTCCGTCAAAATATTTATTCGTCACTTGTTCAATGACCGGAGCCACCTGCGCCTGTCAAATTCATCATTCGTTTCATTAATTCATCAGAATAATAACAGCTTTGGGACTTGATCACTGCAATTGTCGAAACACCACCTGCAATTACCGTCGAAAATACCAGAAAGACCCCGGGGGTAACAGGATACCGTTCGAAATCTTTCTGGCGCTCTTCTCGCGCTTCGTAACCCGAAAAGGCCCGATGGTGGTCTTACGGGGACGCCTCCCTCCCGCCGCAACAGTAAAAATAACCCACCCTCGTCATTCAAACTCAGTGGATTCCTTGACCATCTTCTTACGTCATATGTATCAGAATTTCTTGTGTTATCTCGCGAAAACAGGGAAAAAAATCGGGTTCTAACGGGCTGCGGAATTCTTCTTTTTTTTATTTGAGGATATCCAAGTATTTTTTGCTGTTTCACGGATGAAAAGAGCGTATAGAAGTTTTCTGTACGGATTGCGCATAGAATTTCTGCAGGATTTTCGTAAATTATATTCGGATGTTTCTATACGGATATTTTTTATGCAAATTCGTCCTATGATTTCTATTCTGCCATATTTTTTATGCAAATTCGTCCTATGATTTCTATTCTGCCATATTTTTTATGCGAATTCGTCCTGTATTTCTATTCTGCCATATGAATAGAAACATTTCGCATGCACTGAGAGAAAAACGACAAAGTTCTCGAACAAGTCTTACTTGTGCCAAGAAAATAGCTTTTTGAAAATTATCAAAAAAGGATTTTTTGTGCCAAACATGCAGAGAGTGTGCCGATTTAGTAGTTCAAAAAAAAATTGCATTCTCTGCACACGCAAGACATGTCATTTCTAGCACTACTCCTTCGTTATTCAATACTCCCATACGTATTTTGCTCCCGAAAAATCTTTGTTTTATGGGAAACAAGGGATAGTAGTTTTTCGTTTCGGCTGTCTAATAATCACAGACAAGAAATAAACCCTTAAATGAAACAATAATAATGATATGATGCAATCTTGTAACTTGGGGATAAAATATTTGTTGATAAATTTTCCTCTATATGAGATATTTTCATCCTGAAAAGGCACCGTCTGGTGTGAATTATCCGCGTCTTGAGTCAAATATTTCGTTGCTGTCGAAAGCAGAACAATTATTCATGTTTGAGACTTTTAAAGTCGAACCAAACAAATTCTTGTAGAGCAAATGGAGACCTGCAAAAAAGATATTCACGAAAATTTCGCTGACTCCCTTAGATTCTGAGATATTTCTCTAAAACTCAGCTAAGAGATAAGTCGACTGAAATCGTTTTACCACTTTGCTTTTGAAATGTTTTTTTTACGTATAACCATAATCACCTGAAGAAACTCATTTTGGTTAATTTCATGCGATGATTCCCCACACTTCCCAACTATTTAAGGATCGACCTTCCATCATCCACAAATATTTCTCGCTCACCCTGATCCATAAACCCTAACAATTCTCGATCACAATGACTTTCGCGTAAGGAAATCGCTCTACACAATTAT